CCCCAAAACCCCAAAACCCCAAAACCCCAAAACCCCTTAAAGTCAGTTCGAGATTGATTTCAACTTCAACTTAAAAATGTTTGAGTTTAGTAATCAAAGCTTTTCTTGACTCTTTTTAGTGACCTCTTTACTAGTTTTAGAGTATCCATGTTCTTCTGGAGCAACTTTCTCTTCTTAAGTGTCTCTGGATCTTCCTGTGCGAGAATTTGTTTGTCCTCGTACATAATAAATTCAGTGAGAAGAAAGTCTCTGATCTGCTTGTTAAAGTCTTTTATCAAGCACTTGACAATGCATTTGGGGATCCTTGACTTAAATTGCTTCTTTATAATGGCAATATAGGCGGTGACAACTTTTCTTACAGAGATAATATTAGATATATCATCGGAAGAGAGGCCATCTGCAAGATCAACTCCTTTCTTGATGTTCCAATCTTCAAAATCTTTCTTTGGTTGATGGCTATGCTTGGATTCAGTTTCTGTTTCATCTTGGGAGGATGATTGAAGCAGAGATATAACATTTCTTACTCCTCCAAAATTTCCTGAACTAACTGTTGCCCCTTGTCTCTTCTGTATAGATTTTCTTACATTTTTAGCCTTTATTTCAGCATTTTGGATAGCAGCCTTTGCTGAGTAAGTGTCAAAGATTTTTGGGTCAATACCATACAAGACTTTGTAGTTATCCAGAGTGTCAGAATCAGGCTGATTAGTGCTAAATAGATGCAAATGAATAGCTCTGAAATCTGGATCATCATAATTGATGTAACTCTTTTCATCCAAGATTATGTCTTTGATATGGCTGATAAGCTTCTCTTTGCATTGTTCAAGAACGACTTCTGCGTGGTTACACAAAAAATCTTGTAGCCTTTTTCTCGATTTTAGGTGAACAACATCAATTTTGGAGATTGAATTTTCTATGGTATTATAAACATGCATAGCACAGTTAATACTTGGAACGCTAAACTGATCGATTGTCTTCTTAATTAAATTTTTTCATACTTTATTTGGGACAAATAAGCTAGGTTCAATCCCATTAATTTTTCTGATTTCTGTAAGAATATCTACTTCACTGAAATCTCTTAAAGGATCGATTGTACTGATTTTGTCTTTCATGAAGGTCTGAAAGATTTCATAGATCCTAGCTCCACCATCGAAGAAGATTTTCCCCTTCACTTTAACCATCTGGCTGCTCTTCATAACTCTTTTGAGTTCTTTACAGTATTGGCTTATAATCTTATTGATGAATGATACTATGTCTTGGCTAGTTTTAAGTTCTACTTCTAAACCTAAACTTTCAAGCGACTTTCCTCAGTCATCAAGATTCACTTGAACCTTTGCCTCGATAGGAGGTAAATTCTTCAGAATATGATCATTAAGAAGTGAGCTCAATTTTTGAGCAAGCACTGAAGTTCCTTGAGTATGGGCGATGTCTTTGTAGTCTGGGTGAGTTCTGAAAAAGTTCTTCTCATTTTCTAGTGAATCTATGATAGTTTTTCCTTTGTTGTTATCGTCTTGTGATCTGCATTTCACTCCGATGTAGCCGTGCTTCAGTTTGTACTTGGTTCCATTGATGAAGTCGAGAGCATTGGTTCCCTTATCCATGATGTCTATCTTGGTCATCACTCCAAAAGTTCTATCTCTGTTGGGATCAACTTTCTTCGCATAGAGCAGACCATCAGAGTTAGCAATATCATTATTCGCAGGTGAAATAGCAAGTATGATTGTATTCTTCTTAATGATATACTCCATAACCAATGCTTCTATATCTTTACTTATACCAGCTTCTTGGTCGTCAAGGTCGAGCTTCGTGAATCCTGGTAAGTCAATAAGAGTAAGATTTGGAACATTTTTACTGTAAATCGTCAGGTAAATAGGCAAGTTAACAATCTTCTTGTCAGATCCAGCAAGAGTATTCGTCCTTTTCTCAATCTCATTCCTGACTTCATTGAAATTAGAAATCCATTTCTCTGGAAGATGACTAAAATTTGCAACTGTATCTCCTTCATGATAAATAAGCTGCAGGATAAGTGGACACCTAGTCACGATGCCAGTGCCTCTTGGCAGAAAGTCTTCACCAACAATAGATTCCAGCACAGATGACTTGCCACTTGACTGAGCTCCTACTACTGCGATTCTTGGCAGATCAATCTCAAACTTAAGGTTGGCTCCCTGAAGTGCCTTCTGAATGTCGTTCATCATCTGGATGACTCCTTGTAAATGCATGATTTTGCGCAAAAACTTAATTAATTATTGTTCCAATTCTTAGTCAGAATTTAGGGGTTTTGGGGTTTTGGGGTTTTGGGG